GAAATTGTGAGAGAACAAAGAAATAAGAAGGCAGGTGTGTGCCCACATGGCCTATTAGAAGCAGGAATGTAAAGGGGCTTGGTTATAAGAAGACCAGTTTTAAGGCACAGCCACAGCACTAGCTCAGAGTTTACAGCTCTTGTTATTACAAACTCTAGGACATTTTGAGGGGAAATCATCTAATTAATATTTGCAGCCAAATACCTTTTTGTGATATAATAAACTATTTCAGGATTGCATTTGATGTAATTCTTATACCTTCTTTACACTGGAACCTCAACTTGGGCCTCATGGAAAAAGGTTTTACTTTCAAAAAATGGAACTAGCATTCTAAAAGGCAGTCCTGTCTACTTGTGTAAAACACTGGGATAAAAAGATTAAATGAAGACTTTATCTTTGTTTAGGGAGAAGGGGAAGAAGCAGCAGAGAAGTGAAATATGTTCTGACTATAATCATATTCCAGATTGTGTGTTAGACACATAACATTCATCATTCCATTAGACTAAAAGATGGTACTTCTTTTATTTTTGAATATATTTTTATTCTTATTGATTTCAGAGAGGAAGGGAGGAGAGATGGATACAAATATCAATGATGAGAGAGAATCATTGATCAGCTGCTGCATGCATGCCCCACACTAGGGATCAAGCCTGCAACTTGGGCATATGCCCTAACCAGGAATTGAACTGTGACCTCCTGGTTCATAGGTCGACGCTCAACCACCGAGTCACGCCAGCCGGGCAAGATGGTACTTCTTTTAAATAAAATTTTTAATTTTTTTCCTTTGGTTACCAACTAGGCTGCGCATCTTCCCCCAGATCAGCCTGCTTGTAACATTTTCTGTTTTGTGATCTACGTGTTCATTTTCTTTAAATTTTTTCTTGTGATAAAATATACGGCACATTCCATGTGTCCTGTTGACCACTGTTAAGTGCACAGTCTGTGGCATTAAGCATATTCACCTTCTTCTGCAACCATCGCCACCACCCATCTCAATCTTCCCGTCTTTCCAAACTGGAATTTTGTGCCCATTGGTCACCAACTCCCACCCTCTCCTGTCCCTGCCACCACCATCCTACTTCCTGTCTTGGTGAATGTGACTACGCTAGGGACTTCACATAGGAGGAATCATACACTATTTGTCCTTTCTGACTGCCGTATTTCATGTAGCATATCCGTTTCCAGGTCCGTGTTGTATCATGGGTCAGAATTTCCTTCCTTTCTAAGGTTGAAGAACAGTCCATTGTAGCCCTGGCCAGTTTGGCTCAGGGGATAGAGCATCAGCCTGTGGACTGAAGGGTCCCAGGTTCGATTCTGGTCAAGGGCACATGCTCAGAGTTGTGGGCTCGGTCCCATGTGGGGGGCGTGCGGGAGAAGCCGGTCAATGGTTCTCTCTCATCATTGATGTTTCTATTTCTCCCTCCCTCTCCCTTCCTCTCCGAAATCAATAAAAATATTTTTAAAAAGAACAGTCCATTGTATGTATATGCCAGTTTGTTATTCACATGTTGACAAACATCTGCTTGTTTCCATCTTTTGGCTACTGTACAAAATGATTTCCACCTCATGAGACACTAAGCAAAAGGCCCCAGCAAGCCACGCCTGGACTTCTGAGCCACAGAAGCAGTGAGGTAATAGTTGTGTGCTGTTGTGAACTGTTGTGTGTGTGGTAATGTGTTCTACAGCAACAGAAAACGCCTACAGGTCTCAAGCTCCAAGTCCAAGGAGAGGTGGCAGGTGTCCTGAGATTCAATAGAATCCCACCCGTCCAGGGCAGACAGAGGCAAAACTGGGGGGTGAACAGCGGCCTTTCGCTCTCCAGGTTCCTGAGCACAGAAACAGGAATCCTGCCTGTGTCTGCCGTCCCTGCATTATATTTGTAGACACTACTATGTTAGCCCACAAATCCATAAGCCTGTGCACTCTTTTCTCTGAGGTTTCCAATCTCAACACAAAGGGAGGGACTGGACAACTTTCTTGATCCTCTTCGGTCAGGACAATCTCGCAGTTACTGATCCGTGACCAGAGGCTATCCCTGCCTCCTGATGTACATCTGGTTGTAGAACATACGGTTACCGTAACGAAACATCCCTTCTGAGTAAACTGACCAGGTCCTCCTGACAAATGTCTCATGAGGATGGAGAAAGTACATCTTGTTAAGGGGGAAACTGTGCAGAAAGATTAAATGGTTTCCCCAAGGTCAAAGTTGAGTCAGTGGCCAAATCAAGACCGGGACCTCAGCCTTGGGTTCCTAGGGGAAGTCCAGCATCAAACCCGAAGCAGGGAGACTCATGCTCATTGGCTCAGTTCTTTCATTCTTGGACGCCTGTTAATTTCACCCCCACCCTGACAGCGAACTGCTAGTCCTCAAGCTCCTACCAGATTGCATACATTTCAAGGTCAGGGATTAGCCAAATAAGCTTCAAATGGCCTTTAAATGAATTGCTCAATGCCACTACGCAGTAGCTCTGGGGAAAATGGTCCACACGGGGTCCATCCAAAAAACCCTGGGAGATACCAGGGGATTTTTAGGTGCTTAGCTCTACCTCAGACTCCCCAGAAAACAGCTACTCAGAGTGATAAGAATCACCAGGAAGCTTGTTTACCATGGAGATTTGGGGCCGCACCCCCCGCCCCCAACACACACACAGATGCTAATTCAGAAGGTTTGGGGTGGGCGTAGGGACCTGCGTGTGAACAATCACTCCAAGTGCGCCTGATGCAGGTGGTCTCCCCTGCGGAGAGGCATCGAGTGGGCTGGAAATAAGATATCTGCGCCGGCTTGCCACACCGCATTCTGTGCACTTGCAAAGAATTTCAAAACTCCTCATAAACAAGACAGCGTTGCTAATGAGGAAATTGAGGAATCGTGCGGTCAAGCACATTGCCCAATGTTTACCATCGACTTGCTGTATGAGCCAAAAACAGGAAGGAAAAAAAAACACAAAGCAAAACAAAACACAATCCTCGGAGGCTTTTCACACCCCCTCCCACCGCCCCCCTTTCATGTCCCAAGAAAACTCCAGCAGAAAAGAACAGGAGCCCCAGGACTGTGTTGATATTGGCAGCAAACACACAGCCCGTTAGGCTCCACGAAAGGACATTTTTCAGATCTCTCCGAGGCGGCCCCGCGCGGGCTCTAATGAGTTTACCTCATTTTGTCCTCCGCAGCCAGAGCCACTCGCGGAGGCCGGGCC